TTTTTATTATTATTATTATTATTATTATTATTATTATTATTGTTTTTATTATTATTTTTGCATTATTATTATCAATACATTATTATGATTATTATTATTGTTATTAATAATAATAATAATAATATTATTATTATTATTATTATTATTATTATTATTAATTATTATTAGTATTATTATTTTTATTGTATAAGATGCAAGCAATATTATTATTCTTATCATCATCATCATCACCATCATATAAATCATCACGTGTTTGCTTCAATTTAGGCTACCTGTTTTACAAAAGCAATAGGCCTACTTATTGTAGAGGATGTGCATCAATGATTTTGGTAGATGGTAATTAAAATTAGGCCCTATTTCATTATTGGTATGGAAACAAAACTGTTGCGTTGTAATGGAAATCGCCAATCGTATTATCGATAGCGTTGATGCTCGAACGTATGACCAATACAGCCAAATAGGATTAACAATGTTAATCATCTTTATCACTGCTGTCGTCGCTGTAAATCTTCATCCAAATATTGGTAAGCCCTTAAAGAAATTTGAAATATTTTTGAACGATGTATCGTTAACATTTTACTTACACTTAGCTTGTGGGGCTAGTGGTAGGAGGGTTTGGTTTATTTTAATTTCAATTTATTTTAAAAACCTCCGAAACGGAGAGATGAACTACATTAAAGTCATTCACATAGGAATCAACACATCAAATTATGCAATTACATCACAAAACACATCCAAATACAAATGGAAATTAAACCGCTTAGTTCAATCAAAAAGAAAAACATTTCGCTTAAATAAACTCTTAAAAGTTGTGATAAAAGGTCTCTTCTGTTACATTCTGAAAACGGATACATCTGAAATACTGTCTTAACACTATCAGTTAACCCGTCTTCATCAAGATCGGATTTCAAATTATCTTTGATTTTTTTGTGGGATAACAACTGTCGAATAGGCCTATCATTTTAAGTAATAGTATATTAATAATTTTCTTTACTTTATCAATCGGTGTGTTTGGAACTGAGACACTTTTGGAGGCCTCACATTTAATAAGTGAAAACAAAACTTTCGAGATTTATAATAGTCACTTTCAAATATCTGTGAAAGTAGGTCAAGTTCGTAATTATTGATGTCAGATTTTTGGCAGACCATGAGCCGAAAGCAGAGGAGACGATATAGATTATTTTGATAGGCCCAATGAAGTTTTAACAAGTTTGCTTTGAATTTTATCAAGTTTCTGAATACAAAGCACTGTTTCAAACGTTGTATATCTAAAACACCAGTTAAAGCATTGCAGATGCTTTTATTCGCTATTTATGCTTAACCCAGTGATTGCAATATTTTGTGAAATGGGTGCTACATGACTGCTGTTAAAGGCTAGCTAGTGACAAGCTACTGCTATGCTTTTAATCACTATTTAATGCTTTTTAATGCTTAACCCAGCTATAGCGACAAAAGCCTACGATGTTTATTACATTGCCTCCATAATATTGTTATATAATATTATAATATTGTTATATAATATACCAAAAAAGTTGACGGTCTCTAGCGAAAGTACAATTGTTATTCCACAAGTGAACTTTTAAGATTTTAATAGATTTATTGACTGTCCGTCTAAACAAGCACTATGAATTTTTGTTGCAAGTTTATTAACAATAGAGTTTACATATGGTTGGGCAGAATTAACGTCAGAAAGTTTTTTTTTTTTAATCTTTTGTGGGGTCATCCCACCTTTATTCATCACAAAGACAAAACATTTTTTTATAAGCAACATTGTGGTTACACAATCATCTATAATGCAATATGGCAATGTAAAAATACTGGATAAATTTTTGACATACGTTTTTAAAATGAGTTGTTCAGTTAAAAGTTATTCAAAATATTTGCGGATATGTTTTTCTATCATAAAAAGTTGGAAAACTGAGGTGTAACACCATTTGTTCAGATGTTTTAGGACGTTTGCTTTGTAAATGCAAAACGTTCCTAATGAAAACAGATGAAATGATAAACGTTTCCTGTACCAAGCACAATATTTTTAAAGTTTGCTTCAATACCATAATTAATAAGGCTAAAATGATTAATAAAATTCCACAGGTCATGTGATTCTGTACAATGGTAATAAAAAAAATGTGCGTCATCTTCAACAACATTGCACTTTTGACATGTATTATTTTCGATAATTTTCCATGTATGTAACCTTTTCCTAGTAGGAACAATACAGTGCAATATTTTATAGTTTATCTGTTTGAGCTTGTTTTCTTTGATAGATTTCACTTTCCATGACCAGGTAAGTTCCCAGTCAAATTCTGTATTAAAAAATTTATGCCACTTTGATTGAGAATTTGTAGGTTTTAAACATTTTTTTGATAAAAAACAATTATATATTTATTTACTGTTCATATTGCAGCAATATTTTACTACTTGTTGTGTATTATTTTGTTTTACATTTTCAGTTTTTGAGAATATAATATTTTTCCATTCATGTGGAATTGCCATCATTAAATTAGAAAATTCTGATATCCAATTTGATTTATTATTTAACAATAATAATAGCTTATTTGAATTAATGAAGTCGTAACCAATCACAATATCTTTCATTTTGCGAATATCGGATCTAATCCAGTTTCTATATAACATAATCCATTATACATTATTAATATGTTTCCCCAAATTTTCTGCTCCATAATTTCCTCATAGCATGTTGGATGTTTCATTATACTTTCGTTACATTGGGCTACTGCATGAAGTAATGACAAGTAAAAACCGTGAGAAAGTTTAACAGAGGCAATAAACACAAAATCTTCCTTACTATCTTTGGAATGTTTACTGCGTACCGGGTATCTATTACAAAACTTTTCATCTCGTTTACACATAGGATAATTGTGTGGACTATCAAAAATTAGAGTAATCTTTTGCAATCTTTATGGTATTGATCATTGTGTTTTTCAGGTCGTCTACTTTTTACAATCCATCTATTTCTTTGGATTAAACAAAATGCAAAGATTGCTTTGCCCTTTAATGCCTTTCAGATGAAAAAGCCTACTAATTTTTAAGATATTTATATACACATGTTGTTACATTGAATAACTATGTTCTCAAATATGAATATGGAACCATGTACCCTGTAAACACTAATGAAGAGAATTTTCCACACATTACGAGCTAATATAAAATCAAGTAAAAAAATATAACAAAATGAATTCACATATTTGTTACTGATTTTAAAGAATCTGAAGATCTCTAGACTAACGGGTCCTATCGCCGGAAGCCACCAATAGCGAAATAGGCCTATCCTCCGCCAACGACATTTTGGCACTATAGAATAAAAAGCAAAAAAAAAAATAAATAAATGCATGAGCCATTCCGACGGTGTTTGCGTCAAGAGGTACTGTGATTATTTTGCCTTACCTGACGTGTTATCGTACTGACTGCCAGTGGCGTAACGCTTATGCGCTTTCGTGCGGCGGCCCTCAGGGCCTCGATTCCTAGTGGCCCCAGAGGGGCCCCTACCCATGTGGTCCTCAATCTCACCATTATAGTGAGTGATAGTCTGTGAGTGCCAAGTCTCAGAAAGTCACAGGGCCCCGGCGGCAGTGTTACGCCACTCTAACTGCTCAGTGCGTTTCCCATACTTGCCAAAAAAAAAAAATAAATAAAAAAAAAATAGGAAACGTCATTCCTGTGATATGAGCCTTTACCATTGTAACTTATTTCTGTATAAATTCGGATGTGCGATTCATACCGTAACCGTTAATGAATTATAAACATTTAGAGATCAATATTAGTACAGTACACAAATCATATTATTGTATCAGTATAAATATTTATTTATTTAGTGCTCATCATTGTAACTGAATTTTATTTAAAGTCGGATGCCCACTGTTAATAAAATATTAAAATTTAGTGCCCAGTATTAATTTTCGTGTTATATAAATATTCATTTATTTTAGTATTGGGCAAAGATTGTAATTCATGCCTCAGAGCTGTGACTTTCACAAAACATGGAAATTGGTCAAGATTTACTAGCAGTGATTCAATCTTGGTTACCAAAGCAAGAACTGTAACCCAATGTTCTTTGTTCTGTCTAAGACATTACCCGAAGTGTCAATCAATTCACTATGACAAGGTGTCATCATCGTGCGAATTAATGACGGGTATGGAACCATCAGGACAAAGAAACACACAGAACAATGACATGGTATATGGAATAAATTTTGTAAGTATTGCATACTGTATTACATAAAACAGGAGAATACCTTGTTTAATTAAATAATATGTCTATGTTATACAGTAATAAATAAAATTATAGTAATCAGAATATCTTGATTGTGCTTCAGCCAAAGGACTGCGGTGATATTTTGAAGACGTCTCAAAATTCTTTAAGTGGCGTTTACGAGGTTTCCAACGACGGTAACGCACCAAAGCTTGTCTACTGCGACATGGACACTGATGACGGAGGATGGACGGTAGGCCTAAATGTGACCATGTTGAACTCTTTAACAAGCTACAAAGTAGGCGTACAATGACCAAACATGTTCTTTTTGTTTGAGGTTTTTAATGAAGTTATAATTATTATAGGTCTGTTAACTAGCAACATGAATGTAATACATTTCTTCAGGAATTAATTTTCTTATTAAGGAAACAACACTGCATTTCAGGTTTTTCAGAGAAAGAGGCGAATGTTAGGTAGGCCTAACTCTTTAGACTTCAATAGACCGTGGGTTGAATACAAGAATGGCTTTGGCAACCTACTTGGTGAATTCTGGCTGGGAAACGACTTCATCCACAAAATGACGTCATGCCACGGGGAGTACAAATTTCGATTGGATATGGAGACAACTACTGGTGAAAATCAATACACAACATATGCACCAATTTACATTGCAGATGAGAGTGATCAATACAAACTGGAACTAGGACGTGTGGTAGGAAACAGTAGTAGTACGTTATGTTTTTATTATTGATATTAAGATTTGCAGTGCGCCGAGTCTAGCGTTGTCCACGTAGGTTTAAATGAGTGTGAAGTAAAGATTATCAGAATGCTGGGTTCAAACCCCAATTGGAACAACCCTTTTTTCACACTCGCAGATTCTCTTTACCGTTCAATTACGTATAGGCGTAATTGAATATAATACACTATTAGGCCTATATAAATAATCAAATTATCATATACCAATTTGAGTAAGGACAAAATGTTTGTGCCGATTTACCGTCCAGGCGCGTGCACATCTCTGGAAGAAATATATCGTAGTACCATTCTTTTAAATGTCTCACCATTATTCGCATATTTTTAGTTCCTATTTATGTCCATTAAAATATCGTTAAAAAAAATAATTTTACAACAAAACAAATCTAAAAGATTGGACGAGGAGTTGTTACCATACACTACAAAAGCAACACATGTAAGAGTTAATTATTCAAGTTACGTTAGTACAGTACAGGGAAAGGACCAACAAAGTATTCAGTATTTACAGTCGGAGGTAAGTGGAACGTACCACTTCAGTGAGTGAGGCTGATACTAACACGTATATGTTCACAAATATAATGGAATATAATATAAAGTGACCATGTTAATAACGAAAATAAGTCAATACGCGACGAATTTTACATCCATCACAACGTTCTAGCATGTATTGAATCCGTTTTACCATATTCTTTACCGGAGGCCTATCTAACTTGCTTTAACATTATAAACAACATTATTATTGGCTCACGTTCTTCTCTAGCAAAAGGTAATTTGACTTTGCAAAGGTCTTTCTCCAATGATAGTCTTTCTAGAGTTATATATTTTTATAGTTGAAGTTTACTAAATTTTCCTTAATTAAATCGACTATTTTTAATTTAATTCTATTTTTTATACTTGTGTGTATCTCGTATGTGATGTTTTTAAAATGTTTTCCCCACTTTTGATTAACTTCAATTTTGATTTGATTTGAGATTGAAATAAAGTCCTTCGTCTTTCGTATTTCGTATAGGCCCTAGTTGCCTGACTTGGCTTCACAGAATGATTTTATTTAAATGATACTCCTGGGCGGATCCATAAGGGGTGATGGTCGTCGACGTCCAGACCTCTCCCCAAACTCCACCACCCTTTAATATGTTAGTGGTTTTTAGCTGGCAAAAACGTGTACACAGATGTTGGGTGGATAGTCAGCAGCAGGGGGAAGTCATTTATGAGAATCCAGGCTAATTATTGGCTTCTAAGTCTCTTAAAAGATGGGAGGTTGACAAGACAGAAGACGGTTCCCCAAATCATTTAAACTTAGGCCTATATTATTTCTGTTTCCCCCTCCTGCAAAAATCTGGACCCGCCCCAGCCGCACAGCCTCTCGAAAGGCCACCGCCCTCTGCAAAAATCTGCACCCGCCTCAATACCGCACAGCCTCTCGAAAGGCCACCGAAGGTGGCCTTTTCGCGAGTATATAATAATATAATATATTAATAATAATAATGATAATAATAATAATATATAATTTATTTCCATCATTTTTAACGAGAGTGACCCTTCCAGCCCAAAGGAAAGCCAGTGAGCTGAATAGAATTAATATATGCAAATACTTGTTTTATATCCATGCACTCTGTCCATCTACTTTATCTAATGAACAGGTTGTGTGGGCGGGCGAATGGATGGACAGATGGATGAATGAATGTACGAGCTGGCAAATATAAATAACTTAATGTAATTTATTTCTGACCTTTTTTCAACAACGTTGGAATCATCGCAGTAATTTTATTTTTTCACCCTTAGGTATTTCACTCTGGACGCTTAATAGCCAACATTTCAGCACATTTGACAACGATAACGATGCTTTAGAGAACGGATCGTGCGCTGAGAATAAAAGAGGAGGATTTTGGTATTATTTTTGTTGTTCCTGTTGCCTGAATGGTGATTCATTTGATTGTGAAATCAACGGTATTAGAAAAGATTTGAGTTACTCAGAAATGAAAATTAAGCGTATGAATTAGGCCTAAACATAACCAAAACCAAGTGTCATATCGTGTTGAATATCATATGCCAGGCTACCTTACTTACCTACTCATAAAGTCCTGGGACGGATGCAGGATTTGGTGTTAGGGGTGCGTGAGAGTCCACACTACCTCAGCCCCAACATGGGAAAATTTTGAGAATATGTACCTCTAAGAGCCCTGAAATTGCACTGTCATACCTCAAAAATCTTACCGGTAATTCATATAAACAATACAATAAAACCATTATTATTTTAAATATAATTACGATGCAATCGCAAGGGGGGTTCGATCGCACCATCTGCACCCCACCCCCTGCATCCGCCCAGAAGTCCATCAGACAGTTGTAATTGGTATGGTGTAATTGCATAATGTATATTGCAAACGTAGTTCTACATATTCCATTTATATAAAATTAGTAGACAAAAAAGAAATAACATTCTTCAGAGTGACTATTTTGAAGCATAGCTTTTTTTTGTAAACTTATTCTAAGCAAGCATACGTGTATTTTGATCATCACTAACATCAATATACATATATATATATGTACATATGTATACACACACACACACACACACACACACACACACACATA